GTGTGTGTGCGCGGGCGTGTAGCACTCAATGTCTAACTCCTAATTTTCTTTTTCAACATTAAAATCATACTGCTATTCTCATGTCTCATCATCCTATTTCACAGTTGTTACAACTAGAGCCCATCTCGCGCAGCGGTCATCTGGCACTGGAGGCCCGCGGAACGTACCCAGTAGAGGTGGTGAGACACATGAGCTGCTCCTGTGAGTGCACACTGACCACTGCCTCATGTGGACCAAGGAAGAGACTCAACAGAAATCAGTGCCGCTGCGAGTGAGTAGGAATTGTTTAGATAAGAGCAGTAATATATTACTTGAGTTACGTTGGGAAATCATGCTTTATCCTACGAGCGAAACTGCAAAGTCGAAATCATGAGTTTTAACGAGTGTTTACAACTCTTTCAATTTCACAAGTAGGATGGTCTCCCACCATAAAGAGTGCCATTTTTTTCATCCTACGAGTGAAATTGCCATTGTAATCACGACTTGAATACTTTATTGACCCGGTGGAAAATTTTCTGTGGCTGAACACATGAATTGTAAAAACACATGTAGATAAACATAGACTTAGATTGTGTACATTGTATTACTTTCATAAAAGAATTTCAATATGGAATGAAAAATAAAGCTGGTAAAAAATACAACCTGTAGGAACTTACCACATATTTTGAAAGTTATATAATAGATACATATTCCTAGAATACATTTCATTATGTGCGTAGGTAAAAATAAATCCACAACATTATATATACTAATGTTAACTTCGACAGTAGCCTTGTTGTAGATGGTAGGAACTACCGACCAATTTATTTGTATAAGAACAGTTACTCACTCTCTGTGATGATCTTGAAAAATCTTAACTTTAGTGGTCGAAGACAGATGGGGCACACTGTTAGCTCATTTTATATCATGCTGTACTAAAGAGCGGATGACTCTAGCTCGAATCTCCACGGTTGGGGGGGGGGGGCGTTGGACTTGGTTTGTTTGCAGTTTTGAAGGCTCTCCACCCATTTCTTTCTCGGTCCAGGTGGCGATGGACGTTAAATACGGAGGTCCCGTGGACGTTTAAAGTGGAGGTCCCGTGTCTTAAATAAATTTGCAGTGTTGAAAGAGGCGTCAAACTGAAACAATTACAATGACATTGAAAGCAGGGGAATGCTTTTTTAGTTAGTTTATTCGAAGATTATTTTACTTTCAATTTTTTCTATTGAAACAGCGAGTGGTCTGCACAGTCTCCCACAACTTATATTTGGCGGTAACCTGTTCGTTCTGTTCTGCGAGTATATATACATGACAAAGTCACTTTACCGGCGTTTTTGGTGAAGTGGTTGGATCTAAAGACATTGCCGTTGCACCCAAGACCTGAGTTCGATTTGCGTGTGGAGAGATGGTTTCTTGAGTGTCCCTGTCTTTCTGCAGGGAGATGTATCCCCTTCAGCTTCGTATAGCCTTGACTCGCAGGGTCGAAGTCTGCGCCTCTTAAATGATCCAAACTGCCTTTGCGGTCTCCTCTAAGTAGCGGTCACCTTTAATGACAGCCACTAATCCGTGACACTCTTGCGATATATTAGGTGTGTCCCGCGCGCTCATATGACTTATGCAGTTGCGAGCGCCGTAAAACACTTTACAAAATAAAAAATAAAAAAACTCTTGCGATTTCCCGCTAATTACCTGTTTTATCATCATTTCTTTTTTACATAATATAATGACACTGTATAAGAAGTCCTCTTTTCGCCTCCTCCCCCTCCCCCTCCGCCTCCCAGATGTCGACGCATGGCCCGGCGAAGACGTTGCCATGTGCCCAAAGTCTTCAACCCTGAGACCTGCCGCTGTGAATGTGCCTCGCGACGACGAAACTGCTGTCGGAACAGAAGGACATGTGCTCTGCGGTTCAACGAGAACTCTTGCCGGTATCATCATCTTTTGACTTTCTCATCCTGCATTAGTTTATAGGCCACGAAGAAATATTTTCCGCCTTTCTCTATCCTAGACTAACCTCTCGACGATAGTTATTTATCCCACGTCTTCCCACTTTTCTGTACCAGTAGCCTACATATTGTTATTCCACGTCTTCCCACTTTTCTGTACATATTATTATTCAACGTCTACCAATTGTTCTGTAAACAGTTAATATTATTCTATGTCTTCCTACTTTTCTCTATAAACATTCTCATCTCGTGTTTTTCCTGGTCTGATCTTGTCTCACTTTATCTCATGTTCTACCTGGTCTGATCTTTTTTATATCTTTACTCGTTTTAATCCTGATATACTCTTGTCTCTATTCTTGGTCTGATCTTGTCTAATAGTATCTCGTGTTCTTCTTGATGTTATCTTGTTTTACCTTAGCTCGTGTTATTCTTAGGCTGATATTGTCTAATTATTTTCATGTCGTGTTGCCTCTGATATTATGATCTTGCTTTACCTTATCTCGTTTTATTCGTTGTCTGATCTTGTCTCTTTTTTTACTCGTTTTTTCCTTGATCTGATCTTGTTTCTCTTTATCTCATGCTTAGCATGGCTGCTCTTGTCTACATCATATTTTGTGTATCCAGGTGTGAGCTGGATACCGGAAGTCGTCCCGCCAGTTCTCCATTCTTCCCGAGTCCTGCCCCACAGAGCAGCGCGAACAACCAGGCAGGAAGCAGTAACTCAAGCCAGACCGCTAGACCAGTGACATCACCAACTGCCACGATGACTCTCTCGACCATACCGCCAGCTCAGTCGTCGTCCCCAACAGGCCTGTGTAATTGTCCTGGATGGTTACAGCCTCGGATCACTGAGACAGGCCAGTGTACGTGCACACCTTCGGGGGATACCCGCCGTCGTGGCAGACCCCTCCACGCTCGTCCAAGGAGAGGAAATTGATCATTTAATAGTACAGGGTCCATTACATGTTGTGCAAGCTCCCCACATTCATAAAATGTAAACGATTTGAACACAAAACAATTATATGAAATTTGGCACATCTTATGCTTTTTTAAAAGTAACCACAGACACTATCAAAGCACCTTTGCTCTCGCTGTAACGGAACGTCAAAGTAATGCAGTGACATTGATGACTTTGTCCAAATTTTACAAATGTTGTTGCGACACTGTATAAGACGTCCACTTTTCTTATAGACAATGGGAGACCATCTTACTTAGACATTAAGGACGCTCTTCATTGTCGCCTCTATTTAGAAAAATTCTTATTCAAATCTATGTTTGCAAAAGTGTGCCTTCATTCTGGAGAAAAGGTGGAAGCCACAGAGAGCCAGATCAGGTGTATGGCGTGGATGCCTAAACATTTCCCAGGTGTAACGGTCCGAAAGCTTCACCAATATTCTAGCATTGTGGGAGGAAGCATTGTCTTGGAGGAAGCATTGTCTTGGCGGAACCAAACTTCAGTCTCCAAAAGACTCTGTTGCTGGTTGTTTTTCTTTCAGATCTCTATAACTGGTCTAGACTTTCCTTGTGAACAGTTATGCCTGTTTGGACTAGCTGTAGCAAAGTTATTCTTTCGGTAGCGAAGAAAACTATGTGCATGACCTTAAGTAATCTTTGTTTGCGACATGCTTTCTCTGATCACCAAAGTCTCTTCATTTTCCTGTCTCTTTATCTCAACTTCCCAAGAATAAACCCAGAGTTCACCTCCAAGTACGATTTTGTCTAAAAGTCTAAAGATCCCTTTTGCTGTCTCTGAAAAGCATGAAACAAATCAATCCAAAGAGAATTCTTCTCTCGCTTCCTAATAACCCTGAGTGGCCAAATGCGGCACCCATTTAGAAATCGTCTCTGTATTCAGTTTGTCAGTCAGAATCCTGAAAACTTAAAATTGTCAACAGGGAGATCTATTAATCATAACAACTCGACAAGTTTTCGCCTATCACCATCCAATTTTTTAACAACTTTAAGGATGCTGGCACCAATTACAGGCCATGAAGAAAAAAAGCTGTCTAGACCGTACCTCATCATCTCTGACTCCTGCCTCCTCCACAACGGCTCTTATCCATGTTCTTACTGTTTGTACAGAAGGGGCGTATTCTTTTAAGGCAGTCAGAAGGTCTTTGAATATTACTAGCCCCGACTTACCCATAGGAACTGCAATTGTTATGATAACTTGAAAGTCATATCTTGAAGGGAAAGAACTATTCCCAATGACACTGCGGATAGGCCCAGAAAATATTCCCAGTGAGAAAGTCACTGAGAAAAGACCCAGAAAGTATTCCCAGTGTCACTGGGAATAGGCCAGATTTGCTCTCAGTGTCACTGGGAATAGGCCAAGAAACTATTCCCAGTGACACCGAGAACAGGCCCATTATTGTTCCCACACTGGGAGTACGCCCAGGTGTTAACCCATCAGATTTTGCTCAGACTAGGCTTATAGCATGCTCAAAGAAAGGAATGATCATTCTATGCTTGCTTGTTATTCAATCGTAATTTAGATGTACGTGTAGATCTAGATCTACATACGGATTTTAGAGACCACCGTACAGGACAGGTGGAAATCGTTCCCAATTCTTCTTTCTTCTAGATCTAGATCTTGATCTAGGCTACAGTCAAGTCTAGGCCCATATAAGAGAAGAGAACAAAAATACTGGACCGAAGTGAGAAGAGAGTCTACAGTACACATTAGAATAGAATCTAGGCCTTGAATCTTGATCTAAATCACCAACAAAACTACCAAGCACTCACCTTTTGTAACTGCTCGTAACAAAAAACAGCATTGGTCTCCTTTTGAAAAGCTGCCAATTTCTGTTCAAACTCTTTGAAGGAGGAGAACTTCGCTTCCACTCCCATCTGCATCGCAATTTTGTTTCGAAGTGAAAATTCAAAGGCAAAGACTTCCAATTTTTTAAATGCAAAAGAGTTCCGTTGTCATTGAGAATAGTTTCTGTACCTATCTCCAGTGTCACTGGGAATAGTCACTTCGATCTTGAAAAAGATTCTTTCGTGTTTTAAGACTCTGTTTTACCCATCTTTAAGCTCTAATTGGCATCACAAAACGCTGTGTTGTTCAATGGCACTTCTGTATTTTCAAAGCTTTATGAACAAATCCTGAAAGATTTAGATATATGAATGCCAAATTTCATTGTTGTAGCTATGGCGACACACATTTTATGGACATGGGGAACCTTCTTCATGTAATGAAATGGACCCTGTAACTTCCAAATGATAACGAACAAAAAGGCGGCAAAGTAGTTGAATAACATTTTTCTTTCAAACTGTTTTGTCATGAGTAGAAACATCCGAAAGCATAAGAAAATCAAAACAAAATGTTCCCAGTTATTTTTCTTGACCTTCAAGAAAATAAAATATTATTCCCATGATTTTTTAAAAACTGAAATTCGTCAGAAACTACTAATTGCTCCTGTATCGTGTTGTCATCGAGGAGAATCAGTTCAAGAGTTCGTATTCATGTTTGGCCCATTACCTAGATTCTATATGATTGCAATATCTGACCCTGGCGTCTGATAATGAAACAATTTTCCCGTACTAGTTCCAAAAATGCCATCTTAGTCACCATTCTGAAATAGATCGCCCTTAACTTAAAGGATTATGCCCAGCGTCCTTGAAGTGATGTATCATAATATTATGTCTTCTGTTTTGTTGCGTTGATAAACGTTCAAAGGCATGTGTTAGAAGTGGCGATTATGTCACTTGGTTGATCTTCAGAGAAAAGTGTGTTGTTTATAGATCCCCAAGAAATCGAAAGAGTTGCAACCCAACTTTCAATTTTGCGAGTATCAGCGGGAATATGTTTGTTCTTGAAATCATATATCGTTCAATCTTCATGAACGAGCCGGGCCTCTTTGCGTGTTTGTCAATGTATTTTTTAACTTAGGCATGACATCATTTGGCGGAGAAGAGAGAACAAAGGGTGAAAATGACCTCATTTGCGTACACACAGCCTTGCGATAAGTGGAAATGTTCCTAGTGTGCGCTGGACCTAAAGTGTTGTTTCATAGCACAGCAAGTGGGTATCACGTTGTTGACATCACTGAAGGGGAAACCTAAATAAACTGAAAGGCAGGTTAGTTTTATATTTGAAATGATGCGAGTCTCCATTATACCTTAATGAAAGGCACATCGAGTACGCTCTCGAGTCACCCCTAACACATGCCCACACCCTGACAATCCTAAAACATTGCTCATGTCTTTTAGGAGAGTGTGCTGTTGTATTGTTGTTTTTGTTGTTGTTGTTGTTGTTGTTGTTGTTGTTGTTTTTATCCCTTCCTAGAGATGTGTGATAGACAAACCTCATTCTTAAACATAGAGGCGCTTTACACTTAAACAGTCTTACTTGTGTATTGGTATGCTCATTTGACAGCGATTTTGATAACGTCCTTTACAAAAGTGGTGTATGTATCATCCTTCTATAATGGTGTTTGCATTTCTACAACCAACATGTCTTTTAAATTGTTTCTATCTAACAGTTGTTCACCCGAAAGGTATGGTTCGAGATAGTATGGTCCAGGCTGTTACCTTGATTTTGCTTCAGAGTTTTGAAAATTAGCATAAAGTTTAGAAATATACAGCGTTGTAGATGTCCAAGGACGTGTATTTATCTCCATCTGGTTGCTTTTGTTCCAATTACAAAGTCACATGTAATGGTACAAATTTCAACACGAAATATTTGTTATGTCAATTTTTACAACTTTACGGCTTTACGATATCATCAGTGCTGTTAGCATTCTCCAAATAAAACCTTGTTTTTTGGAAGCTTTCATTGCTTACATTTTTGTCGTAATGTCTACCTGTGAAAGTTGTTATTCACGTATCTTGGCTGAAGCTTCTTTGCAAGTAAAGTATAACACATCTGTTTACAAGTTGTCTAAGGTTAGGTAGTCAAAATCTCAAAAGCTGACATCAAAGAGAAAACGGATGTATTCAGCTTATGTAATCATAATGTCATTTTCAACGTTTTATTTCAAATTTGCAAATATAAAATGTGTTTAATTGGTGCAGCTCTGTTTAATTTTTCAGGTTTAACCAATGAAACTAGGTAAAATGACTTCAAACCAATCTATGGGATATAGAACTGGACAAGCAAAATGGAATTGGGCTTTGACAGGCGAGTGCAAAATTCATGATATTGTTGTCGTCATAATCGGTTTTTAAACATCGATTTTTCGGTACTGAAACATTTGACGTCTTTGCAGTTTTGACCATACAAATCTGGGGGGGGGGCAACAGACATGTAAGGGCTAAGGGTCGACAGCCCATTTATTTGGGTTATGGGAGCTGCAGACGTACTAAGTGCTAGAAGGCGGTAGCCCTTCTGAAAACAAGGGGCAGCGACCCTTTTGAAAACTAAAGCAATAGTTACAGCAGTTAAGGCTTTGGGACGACATCCCTTATGAGGGCTGAACTATGCCGCTTGGCTACAGAGGAAAGTCTATTTTAGAAAAAGGGGTGGGGAGGGGGTAATTTTGTCAAAATTTTGAAAATGAATTTTAATATTAAAATGTATGATATTAGAAACTGAAAAAATAAATGTAAAATGTGCAGGGGCCTTTAAAAATCTATATCT